TCAAACCAAGAAGCCCAATATTCCACTTCCGATAGGAACCGAACTTGTTACCTTGTGATTAAAGTTAACAGTCTGACTATAGTAAGTAACTGGCTCAAACCAAGAAGGACAATAGAAGTACTGAAAGTACCTAGTATAATAATCGAATATATAATATATTATAGGAATAAGAGTCAAATAGATCATCGAACTGCACATGATAATACAATTAGACCACTGAACCCAAAAAACCAACAATTGAGTCCCTAAACTTATCAATTCCTAACAATTCTTCCAATTTGAAGGTTTCCAACAAGTCAACAGGTCATCCTCCAAATTAATTATTTTTTTAAAAATAAAATTTAAAAATTAATTATTAAAATTTTAAGAAAAAGAAAAAAACAGATCGGCTGAATTCTGTTTTTTTTTTAATTATTTAAATAATTAATTTTAAAATTTTATTTTTTAAAAAATAATTAATTTGGGAGGATGACCTGTTAACTTGTTGGAAACCTATAAATTGGAAGAATTGTTTGAAATTGGTTAGTTTAGGGACCTAATTGTTGGTTTTTTAGGTTCAGTGGCCTAATTGCATTATCGTGCGCAGTTCGATGACCTATTTGACCCTTATTCCTATATTATATACGAGTTGTAACAAGTAGTGCTATCTTAGAAAATTAAAGATATTTTTGAATACATATATCTCCTCAATTAATTTCCTTGAGTACATCACTTCTAACGTCATCTTAAACCTAATTTTCGTGACCAAATACAGAAAAGATACTGCCGTCTTTTTTTCCATTATTGTTCTCTGCGCGTTGATGCTGAAAGCACAATCCCAATTGTATTACTTGTTTGATTAGATTATATTATATTCTTCAAATCATTCATGGATATATGAGGATAACTGTATCCAGCAACTGCATATACAGCATCCACTTACCATTGCATTAATTATACTTCAAAGATGCATTTATATGGCTAACGTTTCGACATTATTGCCGCCTGTTCTTTCCACACTGATATTATTAGTGAATTTTGGTGTTGGTTCATTCCCTTTAATTTAATCTCCACTATTTGTAGTGATGATTACATTCGTGAGTTATGATAACGATATGGGAGAAATGCAAAGAGGAACCCTATTATTTGACCGATTCCATTCCATCTCAATCATGTTGTAGCTTTAATTTATATTTTATGCTAATTTTGATGAACCTGTAATATTTTTCTAATGAACTGCCCTCATGCATATTAATCTATCTGGAATTTTAATTAACCTATAGTATTATTTTAATAAACTTTGATCATTGATGCATCTATGATATAACTATTAATATTGTACATGCTATCAGACTAAACTCGAAACCAATATTTTCCCCTTTTTTCTTATCTCCTTCGTCTTATTTATTTATTTATTTTGTCCGAATTCCAATAACTGTATGAGAACTCTTATTAGAGAACACTCTCAATTTTTGGGCAGGTCTCGTGCGTATTAAGATATATTTGTATTCTTGGTACAATTTGTTATATTAGGTAATCATTAAATAGCCTAGTCAATTAGTATAATAAGATTAGTCTATTAGCCTAAAAGTTAGGGATAGCATTTTGTATTTATATTCCTATTATCAATCTACCATACAGATATTCACAATCACATGGTATCAGTAACGCGTTAGGGAATTACGATCTTTCTTTTGCGCTTTCTCTCCTCATTCGTTTCTTCCAGTTCATCCATGGCTACGAACTCATCTGAGCACACCATGAGTGCCGCTACCACTGCTTCGCCTACCACCTCCACGCGCAACCATCTCACCCCCGCACATCATTTTGTGTCAATAAAGTTGACAACGCGGAACTATCTCTTTTGGCGAACGCAGCTCGTTCCATTCCTCCGGGGTCAAGGATTGCTTGGCTACGTCGATGGAGGAACGCCATGTCCACCGGCAATGCTTGCCGTCGTGCCTGCCACCGCTGCCGGTTCCTCCGATGAAGCAGCATCCATGGCAGTCAACCCCGCCTTTTCTGCCTGGGTTCAACAAGACCAGTTGATCTTATCTCTTTTGATCTCCTCTCTCTCCGAGGAGGTCATGTACCTAGCCGTTGGCCGCTCCACCGCAAGGGAAGTTTGGTGTTCCATTGAAACGGCGCTTGGCTCGGCACCCGCGTGCGCTGTCTAAATATCCTCGCTCAATTCCAGTCACTTAGGCAAGGTGATCAAACTCTGGCCGAATATCTTGGCCGTGCCCAGTTGCTTGTTGAGGATCTTGCACAAGCCGGCCGGCCTATGTCGCTTGATGAACAGAACTTGTACGTGTTTCGGGGCCTCCGGCAGGAATTTCGGGCAATGGCATCCACCTTGGCGGTTTCCGGTAATCCTGTAACTCTGCCTCAACTTTCTGATTATCTTCAAGCGCAAGCCTTCATCCATTCGGATGATTTCTCGCCGGGTATGGCTGCTGGACATCCGACGGCGATTATCGCAAATCGGCAGAGTGGGGGCCGGCAGAATGGGGGCCTGCAGACTCGTGGCGGCAACCGTGGAGGACAGTGGCAGGGTCGTGGCCGTGGTGGAAATGGTCGCGGACGTGGTGGCTCCCCTCGCTGTCAGATTTGTCGTTCACACGGGCATACCGTCGTTTTTTGCTTCCGGCGTTACACTGATCAACCCCCACCGCCGCAGGCTAATCTGGCCGTGAGCCAGGACGCCGGTCCACCGCCGGACGCTGCCTCTTGGTTTCCCGACACTGGCGCGAGTTCCCACGCAACTCCCGATCCCACCATGATGTCACACTCCGAGGATTACTCCGGCAATGATGTTCTCCGTGTTGGTAACGGTACAGGTTTAAGTATTTCTAGTGTGGGTTGTGCAACGATTTCATCAATTTCTAAATCTCTAAAAATATCAAATGTATTGCATGTGCCTAGTTTATCGGATCGGTTCCTTTATTGTCTGTTAATCGGTTTGCCACTGACAATAATATCTTTTTTGAGTTTCATCAAACTTACTTTGTTGTGAAGGACTGCATAACCAAGGGGGTGCTGCTTAAGGGTCCCAGTGTGGGTGGTCTGTATTCCCTATCTGTGCCGTGGTCTCACTTGGCGTTTCTGTCAGCCCGGACCACGTCTACTATTTGGCATTGTCGTCTAGGCCACCCGCATGCTCGTGTCCTCCAACATGTGCTCAAGTCCTGTTCGGTTTCATCCCACAAATCTGGTCCACCAAGTCTTTGTTCGGTGTGTCAGTTGGGCAAATCCAGTCGCCTTCCTTTAGCTCGAATAAATTACACTAGTCATGCTGTTTTAGATCTAGTGTACTCGGACATTTGGGGTCCTGCCCCCGTTATTTCTGCTGATGGTTTTCGCTATTTCGTATTGTTCGTAGATGATTATAGTCGTTTCTGTTGGTTTTATCCTCTTCGTGTAAAAACCGATATATATAAAGTGTTTGATGTTTTTCGGGCCATGGTAGAGCGGTTGTTTTCCCGTTCTATCAAGGCCATTCAGTCTGACTTAGGGGGCGAGTATCGTCGGTTACATACTTTATTTGACACTCTCGGGATTGTCCACAGGCAATCCTGTGCTTATACCCACGAGCAAAATGGTTGTGTGGAGCGTCGCCATCGACACATTGTCGAGACTGGCCTTGCTCTATTAGCCAAAGGGTCCGTTCCCTTAAAGCACTGGGATTCCGCTTTTGAAACGGCTTCTTACCTTATAAATCGTCTCCCGTCATCCGCTATTCAATTTAACACTCCCTATTCCATGATCTACAAAAAGCCGCCCACATACACGTTTCTTCCAATTTTTGGGTGTCTATGTTTTCCTTACCTTCGTCCATATAATCGCCACAAAATTGAGTACCGGTCTGCTCCTTGTGTATTCTTAGGTTATCCTGCGTCTTTTAAGGGGTATCGTTGTTTAAACCTTTCTACTGGAAAGACTTTTATCTGTCGCCATGTGCGGTTTGACGAAACTGTTTTTCCTTTTTCTACAGAATCAGGTTCGCAGACGCACGTGCAAGATTCTATATTGGACAAACCATGGGGGTCCGGTCCAATAGTGCCACAAATTGAGCATGTCCCTTCTTTGCCATCCGTCCCTATTATTGCGCCCCAACCTATTCCACGTGCTCCGGCACATAAACGACGCAGGGTGATAACTTCCACGACCCAAGGTCATGTCATGCGTCTACGCCATATGACGCGTGGGACTGATGAGCAATTCCATGCTCTCCACACGCTTACCACTACTGTTGATCCTACCTGTTATACTCAAGCTGTGGTTCATCCTCAGTGGCGGGATGTTATGGACCAAGAGTTCAATGCTTTGCTCCACAACAAAACTTGGGATCTTGTTCCTGCTAAGCCCGGCATGAATGTTATTGGCTGTAAGTGGGTATACCGCACCAAGAGAAAGGCTGATGGGTCCATTGACCGCTATAAAGCCCGTCTAGTTGCTAAAGGCTTCAATTAAGTGCCAGGTGAAGACTTTTTTGATACCTTCAGTCCCGTTGTGAAGCCGACAACTGTTCGCCTTCTATTTTCTTATGCGGTATCCCGTGACTGGACTGTGCGCCAATTAGATGTCCACAATGCCTTCTTAAATGGGCACTTGGCTGAAACTGTCTACATGCGGCAGCCGCCTGGATATGAAGAGCCTGCTCATCCTGATCATGTCTGTCACTTCCGCCGTTCTTTATATGGCTTGAAACAGGCACCACGTGCCTGGTTCAAGCGTCTTCATGATTTTTTGCTTAGTGCAGGATTCTCAGCATCACGGATTGATGTATCTCTTTTTTACTACTCTGCTGGCACGACCATGGTCTTTCTTCTTGTCTATGTCGACGACATCCTTATGATGGGGAATGATCCTGCTCTATTCTCCACCGCCTTGCAGCTGTATTCAAAATCCGGGATCTGGGCCAACCAACTTTCTTTCTTGGCATTGAGACTCTATTTGTGGACGGGACTCTATTACTTTCTCAACGCCGGTACATGAGTGATCTCCTTAATCGTACAGGTATGGCTGATTGTAAGCCTCTTTCCACTCCGGCTTCTACGACCAAGCCTGTTACTCCATCTGATGAGGTATATGACAATCCTACCCAATATCGGCGTTTGGCGGGTGCTTTGCAATATCTCACTATTACGCGCCCTGATCTTTCCTATGCAGTCAACAAACTGTGTCAGTTCATGCATGCTCCTACACTCGAACATTGGGGACTTTTGAAACGTGTATTACGCTACGTTAAAGGCACCTTGCATTATGGACTGCGTTTTTCACGTTCGTCCTCTTCTGCCATTCATGCCTACTCAGACTCAGACTGGGCGGGATGTCCTATTGATCGCAAGTCCACAAGTGGCTATGCCGTCTTTCTCAGTGATAATCTAGTTTCCTGGGTCTCCCGCAAGCAACGCACCGTTGCTCGCTCATCCACTTAGGCCGAGTACAAAGGGCTTGCTGATGTCGCAGCTGAAGTTACCTGGATTGTCTCTCTTCTTCGTGAACTACAATTGCATCCAGTCGCTCCACCAACACTTTGGTGTGACAATCTCGGTGCTACTTATCTTTGCGCTAATCCTGTTTTCCACGCCAGGACGAAGCACATGGAAATTGATTTTCACTTTGTTCGGGACAAAGTTGCTACAGGGGATTTTCTAGTCAACTTTGTGTCCACGAAAGACTAGCTCGCCGACATATTCACCAAGCCGCTCCCGGCTCCACATTTTGCGGCTCTTCGTGACAAGCTTAATGTTGTAGCCCTCCAACCTTTAGCTTGAGGGGGTGTATTAAGATATATTTGTATTCTTGGTACAATTTGTTATATTAGGTAATCATTAAATAGCCTAGTCAATTAGTATAATTAGATTAGTCTATTAGCCTAAAAGTTAGGGATAGCATTTTGTATTTATATTCCTATTATCAATCTACCATACAGATATTCACAATCACAGTGCGAAACCATTTTACAAGTCTAAATCCATGAGATAGATCGGATTTAATAAAAATATGTTAAAATTAGCCAACAGATCGGTAATAGTCCAATTACTTCCGAATGATTTAGGGGTTAGTTAAACTAGAAGTAACGAACACAATTATGCAAGGTTACACTCCTAGAATGTTTGCCTTCTGAACTAGTTCAGCAATTATTGCAGTAAGTAGTTCGCCCAAATAAAAACATACTCTTGGGTTCACTTGATAATCCATCAAGCTGAATTAACTCTTTATCTAATTGTTCACTTTTTCTTGAAGAGTTAATTGAGTTCCAATGCTCTTAGTTAGTTTATCACCAATCATCGCCAATGTTTCACTCAACATCATTGCAGCACTGTGAAAGGATTGTGAAATAATTGGTTCATCTCTATAACTATTCTTCCTCTTCCTTCTTGCACCACTAGACAATGATTCTGAATTTGCAAATAGCTTCACTTCGTGCCCTATTACCTGATGAAGATTGAGCTTGGTTATAAAGTAAATTAAAGTTTTCACATAATTAGAATGAAGTTTTCATATAAGTATACTGATATTACCTGATGAAGAGTGAGCTTGGGTAAATCTGATATTACTATCTAGCATATATATCTTCATCACCAAACATCTTCATCTTCACTAGATAGATTGATCCCACCAATGCCTTGCTCATTAGTCATTTCTTCAATAATATCTTCTCCACTTTGTGCATCCCTCCCTGTTGCACGATCTTTTGCATAGATAGAATTGAATTCATGATAGAAAGGAAAACTTTTCTTTCTGAACTGAGCAGCTTCTTTAAGAGTCTAAATAAATGAAGTTTTCATATTATGAGTATAAAGTAAATTAAAGTTTTCAGATAATTAGAGTGAAATATAAATACTTACACTTATATAAGAATCACACACAGTCGTGACCATATTTCTTTCTTCATCCCATCCAAAGCCATTGTTATTACTAGTGAAAAGATCATGTACTATGCTCCAGTCTTTTTTCAATGTCCTTATCCTTAACTCAATATTAGGTTTAGCTTTTATGTCCGAAGTCAGTATTTTAACTTTTTAGCATCCTCTCCAGCTCATTCAAATACTCACATTTAATTTGAATCCAAAATCAGCACTCTTTGTTCCTAAATTATGGAGGTCAACCATACAACAAACTAAAACAACATCTTCTTCATGGGTCCACCACCTTGACTTGTTTTTTTGAACTATTTGTGTCACTAGTTGCCATAATTCTTTACAGTAACAAAAAGTTAATAAAGACATTAAAATAACAGGAGAGTTTATCTATAACAAACATGAAAGTTAATAAATTCACTCATTATATATTAGCAAAGAGTTCACAGTAACAAATAAAATTATGCATTACATCATAGCAAAGAGTTCACAATACCAAATCAAAAAATGTTTTACTACAAATATTAGAAGTCATAATAAAACAAAGGAGAAACTTGAACCCTAATGTTGCCTAGATGCTTGCCATTCATTGAACATTTATGTTGCTAATTCCATTCGACAATTCATCCAAGCATCCGAGGGCTCAATCGTATGTATTATATTGTCATCATCTTCACCAGGTTCATCATTTACTCCTGTTGGAAAATATCCGCAACGTCAACATGCGAGCTGGAAACCTTTTAAGAAACAAGGACACAACGGGTACGGTGTATGACTGGAAGAAAGTCTGTGTCGTGTTATAATAACACTACCTTAAAAGCGTTATTTGCCCGGTGACGGTGCAATCTAAATAAATCAGTCTGCTTTCGACAGGCAACACAGAACAACCACGCTAAGCTCGCACCAGCTTAAACGTAGCCGAACCTCACTATTGATCAGACTTTAATAAGCAGACACAAAAAGAAGAGAGAAAGGAAATGTTTTCCTTGGTGTGATTAAACTAAAGGCAAAATCCTGTTTAAATAATAGAGGCCAAGCGATTTAGGCCTCATATTATTTAAAGGACCTTAACCACTCATTAATTTGTGGTAATGTTAAATCACGACTTAACATGAACCACATAATTAATGAGTGGCTTGCATTTTTACCCAAAAATCCCCCACAAATGCAAGGGAATGAAAAAAAAATGTTTGAGCAATACAAATGAGTTGATCTTAATGTCAGTGTTTGCGAACTTGAACTGACACGTAGTGACACTGAGTAATTTTCTTTCCGAGTGTGATATGAATCTTGAACTCACCGGTTGGATAAATTTTAAACTCTAATGCACGCACACCAACTCAAAAAGCAAGTTCTACGAAAGTCACTCTTTGACTTCTTATGAATACCCTTAGGCCTTAGTACTCAAGTCTGTTATGTCTATCTCAATATAGACTTCTATCCTGTCAGAGTCTATCTCTATATGGACTCTTAACTCTGGCAAGTCTAATCGCATTGTAGATTTTTTATGTCTGTCAAGTCTATTTCAATATAGACTTTTAACTCTATCAAGTCTATCTCAATATGTGCCCATGATTTTTTTTAACCACAAAAGTAGTATCTGTCATGAACTCCTTACCTCAAGGATGGTTTAGTTTAGACCTTTCGTGAGAGGATTTCTCATACCTCAAGAACTCTATTGTGATCAATCTTTAGCTATTCGCCACACAAATGGCAGTTTGGGGATCTCAGTGTATGGCCACGGTAGGTGTTGGACACCCCCACAATGGCACGTCTGCTAATAAATGTCTTAGCCACTCAGCCTCTTGGCTGGCTAGATCAAGCGCTATGAACTTTGCTTCAATAGTTGATCTAGCAATGCATGACTGTTTCGTTGACTTCCACGATACAGCTGCCCCACACATGAGGAACACATATCCGCTTGTTGAACTAACATCCTCGATGTCATTCACCCAATTTGCATCACAAAACCCTTCTATCACTGCTGGGAACCCTTACATAGTCTAGTCCCTAGTCTATGGTACCTCTCAGGTACCGAAGCACTCGTTTCAGTGCACTCCAGTGAGTATCATTTGGGTTGTGTGTATATCCACTGAGGCGGTTAACCTTTTTCACTCAAGTCAAGGATCTCGTTAGGTCTACCTCAAAATAGACCTCCCAATTGAGTATATAAATCATTAAGAGCACTTTTGTACTCAAGCATTATGCGGTGAATTTATTAGGTATGTCTTAACAAAACCACCCTTCTCATAGGGTTATGAATTCATTAAGAGTTGTAGCTCAACCTCACAAGTACACACATTGTAGGAATGATCAATTACTGTACTACTTTGCGATTCTTTTCATGGCTTCGTTTGACCACAGAAGTGGGACCCACCACGAATTCATCACCTCTTGGGCTTTAAGCCATTCCAATAATTCAACGATAACCTCATAATTAGTCATTTCTATTAAAGTAAGTTGATCCTCTCGATCAAACTTACAACGAGAACTTTGTTTACTCACAAACAATTCCCTTAAAATTTTCATGTTCAACATGAAATATTCTCTTTTAAGAAAGAAATATATCAGGAGTTAATTACCCCCACAATGCAACAGTTACAAATATTTTTCTCAAAAGTATTTGATCTCTTACCCAGATTGATCTTTGGTGCCCAACATTAGCTCCTTTGTAGATTGAGTTTTGCAAATTTGCTTTGTGAAGCATTATAGTAGCTCCGTGCTTTTACCTGATACATACTCAATTGAATATATTTCAACAAACTTGGTTATCTTGACCCATCATAATTACCCTTTAAACATGAATTATAAGTAGATGACTCAACCAATAATTTAAATAATATATATAAATGCTCATTGTTTGTAAGCCACTTAGATGATGTTGTATGTATGTTGCTTCAAGTTGGACAACATAATCACAAATTTCACATAATATTCTTAAAAGAAGTTAATCTAATACGCAAAGAATATGTTCAAACTGACATTTATTAGGGAATATATTTCAACACGGTGAATTTAACAAGTTAATATTCAAAGTTATTCCACTTGCACAACTTTTCCTTCACTTGAGGAAATTACAAACTCATATAAAGCATTCATATGACGTAGATCAATATTACTATTGCAGTACTTCAACAATTTCTATTGCAAGGCTTTGATTGTTTAACAACATATGAAAGTCAACCTCATTTCAGGTGAAGATCAAGTGGCGCTCTAACTAGCCTGCATGATCAACACCCTACTTCTTAAAACTCCTAGGTCGAGTGGTGAAACCGAAGTTTACTTAAAGACCATCTTCCTAGACAGAGTATTCAAGAATGATGACTTTTCCATGCTACCACCACAATGTGAGTAAAGCCTTAGAATTTAGTCTCGGTACACAATCTAGATATTTAAGATTAAGTGATTGTAAAACATATATGTATCTCATCAAATAGTGCAATCTATGTAACATATCCACAATATAACACATAATGTTACAGATTCGATATGTGCATAAGTACACAATTTATAAGCTTTAAATCAGATTGATGATTTAATCACTTAGCAGTAGTGTTAAATCAACACCTCTAACACAACAAAATCATAAAGCTCATCCATGTGAATAATAACAATTCACTTATCCTTGTGTACACCGCTGTTAATTTTCTCTATAATATTCAAAGCACTTACCATATAAAATATGAAATGGTGATTTCTAAAATGCTTGTCACAATATATATTTCACATTTCAAATGCTCTCAAAACATAATAATCAAAAGGATGCAAAGATATAGGCAAACCATCTTCTAAATTATGCCATTATGATAGTTTTACGGGAATATGGTCAATGCCAAATAATATATGACTACGTGTGCTCAAAATAATCATTTGCATATGATAGTCTATTATCATATAAATATGCTTGTGTCATCTTAAAATATGAGGAGACAAACCTCATCAGGGTATGGTCAAAGCTCCGATATGAACCCAATAATTACTTCTGTTGTACTCCCTTAGCTTGCTTAAAGGTTACACATAAGCCAAAGCAGTGTGCTTCACCAGTATTGTTCTGTATGAAGCTGCTGCCTTCCACTGCTAATCTCTGTTATTGCTACACCATCATGTCGCCAAAAAATTATTATAATCTACTCCATGATTCGAGTAGTTGACTATTGCTAAAATAATGCTTTTAACTGTTGGAAAATATCCGCAACGTCAACACGCGGACTGGAAACTTTTTAAGAAACAAGGACACAACGGGTGTATGACTAAAAGAAAGTCTGTGCCGTGTTATAATAACACTACCTTAAAAGCGTTATTTTCCCGGTGACGGTGCAGTCAAAATAAACTGGTACGCTTTCGACAGGCAACACAGAACAACCACGCTAAGCTCGCACCAGCTTAAACGTAGCCGAACCTCACTATTGTTCAAACTTTAATAAGCAGACACGAAAAGAAGAGAGAAAGGAAATGTTTTTCTTGGTGTGTTTAAACTAAAGGCAAAGCCCGGTTTAAATAATAGATGCCAGGCAATTTAGGCCTCATATTATTTAAAGGACCTTAACCACTCATTAATTTGTGGTAAATGTTAAATCATGATTTAACATGAACCAAATAATTAATGAGTGACTTGCATTTTTTCCCAACAACTCCAACATACTCATCATTCTCCAATGGATCAACACTCATAAATTGCCTAATAAAGTTATGAAGTAAAACAACATGCTATAATAATGCGGTTATGTGTCCTTATAGGATAATAAGATGGACTTCTAAGAATAGCCCATCTCATTTTTAATAACCCAAAACACCCCTCAATCACATTACGGGTTGCAACATGTTTCATATTAAAATATTCTTTGGGACTTGTTGGTTGATAACCTTGACGCCTTTCATTCAAGTGATACTGTTGACCCTTAAAAGGTGCTAGAAAGCCTTCAGAATTTGTATAACCCGCATCAACTAGATAATATCAACCTATATTAAAATCAAGACTAATAAGTGACTTAATCATTAGACAATAGCTCATTCATATCTTAAGTCTAGACAGAACTTACCATGAGGTACTTTCAATGGATGTGCCCTAGTAATTGCGTCACGAAGAACACGACTATCGGATACAGATCCTTCCCAACCAGAAAGAACATACACTAATTGCATGTCAGAAGTGCACATACCTAAGACATTTGTTGCAATATCTCCTTTACGGGTTCGATATCTAGGTTTATCAGCATTTTGTACATAAACCTTGAAAAACGTTCCATCTAGTGCACCCAAACAATTCTATAATCCAAACACAAAACACTTAATTAAAAAAACACACCTAAATATATATAAAATTTAGTTACATAAAGTTGTAAAATGGTTAAAAATACATTAAACCACTTCCACCGATTATCCGATGAGTTACTTGGGATAGGCTCGGGTTTTGCAAACAAGTGACCTTGTAAATGCATAAGTGCATTTAAAACTTTATGAAAACTTCGGCTAATGCTCTCACCCGATCTTCTAAAATTTTGTCTAATGACTTGGTTCTTAACATGGCAAGCAAGAATATACAAAAATATTGCTACTTGTTCGTCAACAAGCATATTTTTTTTTTTGTTGGTTTAAGTCCTCATATACTTTCTAGCATTCCACATAGTTTGAAAAAGGTTCCTCTGTTCATCCTAAGTTGTGAAATGCATGCCTCATCATTGTCATATACAATTCGTCTCACATAATCTCGTTTGTCATAAAAATCAAGATAATAACGCCTACTAATTCTTGGTCGGGATGCGTTGATGCCATCAAAAGTATAAAAAGTACTAATGGTAGTATACATTTGCAAGAATACAGTTAAAGCTGCTGCAATTTGTTTTCTTCTTTCATCCATTGTTATTCTTGTTATCTATAAAAAATAAAGTCAACAAAATGATTGTTTTATAAACACACAAAACAATAGCATACATAGCATTTTGATCCTGGCATAAGCACACAAAACATATTCATTATTACAATACTACTATCCTTCATATATAAAGCCTAATTTCATATTTTCATTATTACAGTACTACTATCCTTCATATTTTCATAGTTTTTGAAGAGGTTGAGCAGTAAGGGCAAATTTCTTACAATCACAATAACCTACTATACATTTGTTTTCAATTTCATAAAAGACAAACCTAGCAGCAAAATGAGGTGAACAAAAAATGAAATAAAAATATAATACACAAAGAATGACATAGTGGAATATTTAATATACACAAAATGATAAAGCTTGCTATGGAGTGAATTGTGCTAGAATACACAGACTACGAAAGCAAAAAAATAAAAAATAAAAAATAAAAATGACCAAACATGTGAATGAACATATATACGGAAGCACAAAGAATGGAATAAAAAAATATATGGAATACACAGAATCCACTTTATGTCGTAGAAAATGGAATAAAAGCACAAACAATAGAATGAAAAATATATATGGAAGCAATAAGAATACACAGACTCAGTGGAGCAAATGGGAGCCGCAGGTAGCAGTCTGATATTTTTCTAACAAACTAATGCGACAAATTGAGTAGGTAATGAAGACTCTTTATACGCAGAGTGTATAGGAAGGGGTAGAAACCGAGAACTAATTGAGTAACTCGCAATTTATCTCTTTCAGCGCTTTTGGGCAGGAGTTCTGGGGTCGATTTAGAATTAATCCAGCCTAAGTTGAGAATAAAAAAAATAGAAGGATATAATAATCAAAACAATGAAGTCACTAATTGAGCAATCGTTATATTGTGCACTAGATTGTGCGCCCTGTCCAAAACGACGTCGTTTTTTATGTTAAGAGTTTATGTGTATTATGTTAAGAGTTTATGTGTATTCTTTTAAGTTTTTTTGTATTATGTTAAGAGTTTAATTTGTATATTATGTTATGATATTGTGTATATTATGTTAATAGTTTATGTGTATTATGTATTATGTTAGATTATGTGTATTATGTTATGAGTTTATATACATCTGAAACATGATTTTTTTTTTTAAGTTAACGGTAGAAACAGGAAACAAAATACAAAATAACGTCGTTTTGACCAAGGCGCACAATACATTGTGTGTCCTGATGCACGATATAATTTGTCCTAATTGAGGTTTTTGAAGCCCATAATATTCTAGCTGAGCCATTCCTCAGAAGTTTTACAAACTGTCAAACAACATATGACGCGAAGACAATCTAAATAATAGAAACAAGCTTACTCACTAATAATAAATTGCAAATATTTTATTCCACTTTTGACATCGTTACATATGTCACTTGGTTTTGATTTTTTTAGTATTATTTTTTTCACTTTTAATGCTAGAAAGGGGAATAAACTCTTTTGTTGGAAACAATCTTATAACTAACTTTTTTTTGTAATACTGACTTTGTTATAATATAATATATGTTCATATATATATTTTCTCAACTTATTAAAGTACAAAGAGTCAATACCAACCGAAAACTAAGTTAAAGTAAACATAATGCCAATTGAAGTATAAAAAAAAAAAAAAAAAAAAAAAAAAAAAAAAAAAAAAAAGGATGGAAGCATTCCTAGCTTCTACAATCAACACAAGCCCAAATTAAAATCAATTTCAAGCATAACAAAATGTTATCAATATCCATGCTGCTCAAGGCCATTTCATTAAATCCTGGATCACGAATATAAGGTATATTTTTAATATATTAAAATTTTATTTTTAAAAGTACATTATTTTTTTGACCAGTAAAAGTACATTATTTGAATATTAAAGATTATCAAATACCAAATAATGAGCCTTTAGTATACAAATAATATATTTTTAATATATTAAAAATGAACATTTATTTATAGTACACATTATAATTTCACGCTCAAAATAAAGCTAGGTGATCCCCAAAACGAATAATTGTTCTATGTATCATGGTCCACACAACTGTGTGGATTACAAATAAAAAGTACACTATTTGTGTACATAAATTACCTTATTTAATTACTTAAAAGTACATTTAGTACTGAAATAATGCACATTTAGTACACAAAATAATGTATTTTAGTATATTAAAAATATACCTTGTATTAATAGAAAGTACATTATTTGAGTACTGAAAGTATATTATTTTGTATATCATCAAATAATATACATTCAGTATACAAATAATGTACTTTTGGTATATTAAGAAAATGTATTTTATATTCATGGTGTACAGAAAAAATTGCCCCCCAAAACCAGTCGTTATATCTGCACTAGGGCACACAATGCATTGTGCGCGCCGCCCTACCCAAAACCACGTCGTTTTGGTGCACTGTCAAATAAAAAAAAAAAAAATCATCTGTTTCGAATACACATAAACTCATAACAGAATACACAGAAACTCATAACTGAATACACATAATCTAACATGATACATAATACACACAAACTCTTAACTGAATTGACAGAAACTCTTAACTGAATACACAGAAACTCTTAACTAAATACACAGAAACTCTTAACTGAATACTCAAAAACTTTTAACTGAATACACAGAAACTCTTAACTGAATACTCAAAAACTTTTAACTGAATACACAGAAACTCTTAACTGAATACATACACACTCTTAACTAAATACACAGAAACTCTTAACTGAATACACAGAGAACTCATAACACAATACACATAAACTTTTAATTAAATACACATAATGTGATTTGGGCCGTTTAGATAGACAAAATGACATCAGTAATTGAAACGCGCGTGTTTTGTGCTTGGGCACACATTGCTCGCCGTGGTACACGATATAAATTGCCCCCTAAAACAATACCAATTTCAGCATACAACATCAAACCCATAACTCTAAAAGCTTTTAATACAATGTGATAACACCATACTTTAACAGGGCAAATTATGCCCTGGACCCGTGTCCACAATGAATTGTGGACACGGGCCCAAAACGACGTCGTTTTTCAAAAAAAATGCGTCATTCAGTTAAAAAAAAAAAAATTGCGCGCGTTTTGCCGTTAACAGCGTTATTTTTTTTGGATTATGAATGTACAATTATGCCGTTATGAATGTACAGATATGCAATTATGAAATTATGAACACAGAGCTCTAACATTATGAACTTACAATTATGAACATATAGTGATAAAATTATGACCATGGAGCTTTAAAATTGTGAATATAGAGCTTTGAAGATTAGGAATGTACAGTTATGGAGTTATGAATGTACAGTCATAGAGTTATGAATCTACAGTTATGGAGTTATGAATCTACAGTTATGAGATTATGAATCTACAGTTATGGAATTATGAATGTACAGTTATTGATCGAATTATGAACAAAGAGCTCTGACATTATGAACTTACAATTATGAACATATAGTGATAAAATTATGAACATAGAGTTCTAAAATTGTGAACATAGAGCTTCGAAAATTATGAATGTACAATTATGGAGTTATGAATGTACAGTTATGGAGTTATGAATGTACAGTTATTAACATATAGTAATAAAATTATGAACATATACTCTTATAACGAAGCGGTCTGAAATTTAAAAAAAAAAAAAAAAAAAAAAAAAAAAAAGAAGATAACAGTGCCTAACGGCACTGTTACCCGTGTCCAGCATGCATGCTGGACACGGGTCCAACGCATAACGATTGCTTTATGCCCCATACATTTCTAGGCCCAACGCGACCTGGAGCAGCCCAATAACGGCAATTTCATTATGGAATAGAATGCCTTTATCGAACAGCATTCAACCTAGGCTAGAGCATAATTGCTTTACCACCGCTATTAATACTCGCCAAATTATTATTTGGATCAGACCATGGTCTATACAGTGTTGTTTGTACTATAAAAGAAAATAATTTTTTTAATGTATTAAAAGTATATTATTTGTGTACTAAATATACATTATATAAAATAATATATTTTTGGTATTCAAATAATGCATTTTCTCTGAGTATAAGGTACATTTTTAATATACTAAAACTTTATTATTTGTTTACTGAATGTACAATATTTGATAGTATACAAAATAATGTACTTTTAGTACTCAAATTATGTACTTTCAAATAATATATTTTATGTACATAAACAAAGTACTTTTTATTTATGGTTTACATAACTGCGCGGACCATAATGATTGTTAATACTCACGCAAGCATGTATCTTTATCAAGATTAGTGTTAAACCCGTAAATCCAATGGATTTGGTTTTGGCCTTGGTTTGGCAAAAAGCCATGGTTTTTGGCATGTCAATGGGTTTTGCCGTGGCTAAGTCATGAGGATTTCATAGCTTAGGAGGCACTTGGCTTGGTTAGTGGGTTGTTTAAGTCGCAGGTGGTCGGCTTGAAAGAACACATTTGGTGGTGTGTGGCTCGGTTAAGGCGCAGACTTGGTCCGTGGCCAAAGGTGCGCGGGACCCTAGTGTGGTGTGTGTTGGCGTGCTGGTGCGAACTGGATGACTCAGTTTAGCCAAGGGCGCGACCTTGGGCGCATGTGGCCGGTGGTTCCGTGCGGTTGAGAAGTTGCCTGACAGTTTCCTAGATTTAAGGGGACCA